AAAAAGACTGCTCCAAAGCAATTCCATGGTCAAAGCAAATTCTTTCCTCTCAGAGGAAGCAGCGTGTGCTATCCACATAGCGTTCACATGGTACATATACTAAGTTTTATCAGCGATCGAACCCACTGCTGTCGAGTTGATGCTGACCCACAGCCACTCTGTGTGGGTTTTCAAGACTAAATCTCTGTGGAAGCAGACAGCCTCAGCTTGCTCCCAGAGTAGCTGGTGGGTTTGAACTGCTGACTTTGAAGCTGGCAGCCTAATGCCTGCCCCACAGTGTCATTGGGACTTCTTACAATTCATCTAGCAATGACTTAAAAGTATATGGGAGCATGTGCATGGGGTGTATTTAAATATGATGCTTTTTTATATAAAGGATTTGAACATTTGAGGAATTAGATATGGAGAGGTATCCTAGAACGTGCCTTCCACAGTATACTTTCCCAGAGTCTTACAGACGGGCACAATGTCCTGGGTTTTGATTTGGAACGGAATTTTCTATCTACTACACCATACTCCTCTGACATATTTTAAAGACCAACTTATAAAAAGGGAATTTTCCTAACTTCATGTAAATATTAGTTATGTTCTACTATTAAATTCGGAGCAAACTTTTTACCCAGAATGTGGGAAGGTGCCTTCAAGTAATGGGTTAGTGAGCTTAAGTTTGCAAGTAGCTCAAAATAATGAGTGAATTCCTGGGAAATGAGTGGTTTCTTCTAGTGTGTGTGGAGTTAGACTCGGCTGTGTGGTCTGCCTGAGCTCTGCCCTGGCTGTAGCACTGAAAAGATGATGCACACACACACTCAAAACAACAACAACAACAACAAACAAACAGCCTCCAAAAGAAACTAAACAAAAGCCTTCCAAACTCTGCCATCGAAATGATGCCAACTCACAGTGACCCAGTAGGACAGGGTAGAACTGCCCCTATGACTTTCCGAGACAGTAACTCTTTGTGGGAGTACAAAGCTCCATCTTTCTCCCGTGGGGCCACTGGTGTCTTCAGACTGCTGACCTTGTGGTTAACCGTGCACCACCAGGGCCAGCCAGTCTGAATGATGTACCTTCACGCTGTAGAGAATCATGGTGCTATAGCCTTGCTCTAAAGATGCATCTCTCAGGGGGTCATGACCCCTCAGGGGGTCAAACGACCCTTTCACAGGGGTCACCCGATTCATAACAGTAGCAAACGACAGTGAGGAAG